CGGGGTGGGATAGGGGGTGGGGGGAAGATACTGGCAACTAAATGCTCTTTTTTTTCGTTTCAAACAGAATATGGCAAAAGGGAGTCGTGATGGAGTGGGGGAGGGGAGACAGCTTCTTATCTGATGGGAGCGAACAGCAAAGTTGGAGGCAGCAGGGACCTCTAGAGTCTGGTGTGGGGCCTTCGTTGTATCCAGTCAGCGATGGCAGGGATGGCTTGGACTTTCTTCCGTAATGCAACCAGCCTGGGATGGATGTCCAACAAGTCAGGTTTAAAGACCAAAAGGGTAGTGCTGCAAATTTCCCAGTAGAAATCTGCCCAAGTTACCTGATTTAAAGGAAACAGAAATTTCCATTTGAATGTAAAGGCATAACTAACTTCTTAATCTAAAAAGTAGTTTCTTTTCAATTCAAAGTAATCTTTTGTTATTACAAAAGTGGAATGTGTGTGAGACAGTATAGGGGTCATATCTGAACTCCATCTTGGAGGCCTGACTGTGACTTCTTGGTTTCAGTAAAATTCTGTAGTTAAAATTAACCTGACTACATCCTTAAAGGAATTATTGTACGACGATAACATCCTTTCTTAACATCAGATTCTGCAAAGTAGTTGTTTTGTCAATTAAATGGTAACTAGAATGTTTGCTCAAGCATTTTTATGGGCCCACTGACCATGGAAAACATCTTGTGACCCGGTCGGTGTGGCTCAGTGGTTGAGCATCGACCTATGAACCAGAAGGTCACGTTCGATTCCCAGTCAGGGCACATGCCTGGGTTGCAGGCTCGGTCCCCAGTAGGGGGACGTGCATCTCTCTCATCGATGTTTCTAGCTCCCTCTCCCTTGCTCTCTGAAATCAGTAAAAATATATTTTAAAAAAGAAAATACCCTATGAACACCCCAGGATCAACCGCCACCAGATGGACTTGGTGGGACAACTAACCTCATCCTCATTCCCAAGTCCTACACCCACCCAAAGTGAGCCATCTACCAGAACTTCTCGTTTTCGGATCGAATCCCTTGTGCACAAGCCCTTTTCAATAAACTCCGTCCGCTTGATCTTGTACTGAGTTCAGTGCTCATTTCTATGAAATTGAGACTCGAGAATCTGGCATTCAAGGTCCAGTAACGTATGTATGATAGAAAATTACAAATAACACCTTATTCCCAACACCATATTCCCAACACTCAGAGGTTAGTCCTGTGTATAAGGTGGTATTCTGTGTGTGTGTGCGTTTTTAGTAAGATGAGATCTTACAGTACATACTCTTGTAACTTGATTAATCTTCATCTCTCTGACTATATTTTCATCTTATCTAATACACAATCAATACTTTTCCATCTGTTCCAAAATGTTCTTCATAGGACAAAGCAGAATCCATTTCAGGACCATGCATTTCATCTGGTTGTGTTCTTTAATTCTCTTTAATTCAGAATAGTACCCTTTTTTTTTCATGTCACTGCATTAGTCAGGATTCCACACTAGTCCTACACTATGTCCTGTCTTCATGGTTTGTGTGATCATCTCATCTTCTTGTTTACCTTATTCTTTTACTCTGCAGGATGTAAAGGAATAGGGTGCAAGTTATCCCTATGGAATTCATTGTTTGTTTAAAATATATTTTTATTGATTTCGGAAAGGAAGGGAGAGGGAGAGATAGAAACATCAATGATGAGAATCATTGATGGGCTGCCTCCTGCATGCCCCCTACTGGGGATCAAGGCCGCAACCCAAGCATGTGCCCTTCACTAGAATCGAACCTGGGATCTTTCAGTCCACAGGCCAGTGCTCTATCCACTGAGCCAAACCAACTATGGCTCATTTTCTTAATTTGTATTTATCTATTTTAGAGAGAGAGGGAGAAAGAAACATCAATTTTGTTCCACTTATTTATGAATTCATTGGTTGATTCTTAAAAGTGCTCTAACCAGGATCAAACCAAAAACCTTGGCATATCAGGATGATGCTCTAACCAACTGAGCTACCCAGCCAGGGCAAGAGTTCATAGTTTCAAGTTAGTATTTCTGGCTAACACACATTATATTGTATCACATCAGATGACTTAACCCCTTCCCCAACAATTCACTTTGTATACTTTTTTATACTCTTGTCCCCTTTGTGACTAGAAACTAATCTGGATGACATTACTTTGGCTCAAAGAGTGAAGTTTAAATGTGGACTAGTAGCATTCTTTTCTTTTTTTGTTAATCCTTACCTGAGAATATTTTTCCATTGATGTTTTAGAAAGAGTGGAAGGGAGAGAGCGAGACAAAGAAACATCGATGGTGATATTTTATTATTATTTTGGTTAATCCTCACCTGAGGATATTTTTCCATTGCTCTTTTAGAGAGGAAAAGACAAAACCATCGGTGTGAGAGAAACACATTGATTGGTTGCCTCCTGCAGGAGCCCTGACCAGGGCCAGGGAGGAGCCTGCAACCAAGGTATGTGCCCTTGACCAGAATTGATCCCGGGACCCTTTGGTCCTGAGGCTAATGCTCTATCCACTGAGCCAAACTGGATAGGGCAGTGATGTCTTATTTTAATCTCTCCTTCTAACTTATTAACTAAAATGTTTTTATGAAGACAAAATTTGGCCATGGATTTTATTATCTTGCGGTACAACTGGTTTTATTCAAACCTCCCACTTTTCTGTTTGTTTTCAACAGTTTTCATGATACTAATTTGGCTCCGTAGCATCTTCTAAAAGTAACCAGTGAAGCTTTGTTTTGGGGGGTTGTGTGTGTATGCATGTTTGGTTGTGGTTGTCATACTCATGGATTTATTCATTTTGATTTGTTTTAGTCCATTGCAGTTAACATTCTTATTGTAGCTTGAATTATCTTTGGCCAGTAGGAGCCTCTTCAAATTGACTTCTGAGATCTTTAGACACAACTCTGGTTGTCTTTGATAATTTATTTCCTTCTGGTATGACAAGGAACCCCCAGTTAATCTTTTACATTTCCTGTCCCAAATTGAGAATGAGCCTTATTCTAAGAAGCCCTGGTTCCTTTAGTATTTGAAGACCAGAATCTCAGTCTTAGGGGTGGCCAGGACAACTGTGTTGGTCATTGTTGGAAAAGATACTAAATTCATTTTTCTTTTTTTTTTTCTTTTTTATTTTTTTTAAATATATTTTATTGATTTTTTACAGAGAGGAAGGGAGAGAGATAGAGAGCTAGAAACATCGATGAGAGAGAGACATCGATCAGCTGCCTCCTGCACATCTCCCACTGGGGCTGTGCCCGCAACCCAGGTACATGCCCTTGACCGGAATCGAACCTGGGACCCTTCAGTCCGCAGGCCGACGCTCTATCCACTGAGCCACACCGGTTTCGGCAATTCATTTTTCTTGTACTTTATCCTAAGATAAAGTACATCATGAGTTTATGCTGTTGCATCTAGTTCACACTCAGAAATAGAATGTTTACTTAACCTTATTGGTCTTAAATCTCTATCTTCTTTCTCCCATAGTGAAAATCCTGGTTCTCAATGACATCCATGCCATTTCTTATTACTTTGCCCCACAATATAGATATAACAATATCAGAAAAATAATACCACTGTACCAGTACCACCAAAAATATAATTACTGAAAGTGATATACAATTTTTATTGTTTTGTTCTAAGAGTATATCTCTGAGATGTATAGTCAAATTCCTGTGTTTTTCATATTATGCTATTTCCTTTTCTTTTTTATTAATCCTCACCCAAGAATATTTTTTATTGATTTTTAGAGAGAGTGGAAGGGAGAGGGAGAGACAGAGAAACATCGATGAGAAAAAGACACATTGATTGGTTGCCTTCTGTATGCTGGGGTAGAGCCTGCAACCGAGGTACATGCCCTTGACCGGAATCAAACCCAGGACCCTTCAGACTGAGCTAATGCTCTATCCACTGAGCCATTTTAGCTATGGCTTTATATATTTTTAAAAAAAAATTTTTTTTATTGATATCAGAGAAGAAGGGAGAGGGAGAGAGATAGAAACATAATGATGAGAGAGAATCATTGATCACCTGCTTCCTGCACACCCCACACTGGGGATCAAGCCCACAACCTGGGCATGTGCCCTGACTGGGAATTAAATCATGACCTTGACGCTTAACCACTGAGCCACACTGGCCAGGCTCTGAAGCTGTTTCTTTAAGTAGTTCTTCACTAATAGAATACATAGGTACTTACATACCCCATGCCTCAATCTGACACAGGGTTGTTTGTTTCACTTTGCTTTTACTTTGCAGTAATAACTTTTAAAGATGTTTTTGTTATTGCTGTTATATACTTATATAAAATATTTTAGTTATTGGTTTCAAAATGAAGTCTACCAAAAAAATGTTTATTCAAAAAATTTTAGCTTTTATCTCTGCTCTCTTACTCCCTCTTTATGGGTAACATTTTTTTCAATAAGTTTTTATGTCTTTGGTTTATCTTCACAAATAAATATATATATATACACACACATTTATATATACATATATATATTTACTTGTATTTTTTAAGATGTAAAACATACTCACAGAGTTACCAATGAACCACTCTTTTTTCCCTAAGTATGTATCCAAATCTTGTAGAAGATGAGGTGCATCATATGTAAGTAGCTCATTAAACATCTGCTCCTAAGAGAGGGAGAAAAAGATCACTTTAAGGAAAATAGGAAGAAAAATAAATAGTATATGATCTGAAAGGGAAGTAGATTTTTCCTTCTTTAGTTTTTCCATATGAGGTCAAAGGGAAGTAGCTATATGGTGTTGTTTTTAAAATGTATGACATTACGAAGATTCGCATCTAATTCCCAATAGATCTAGTCATTCCTTTATTACACGGATCAAAAAAATAAATACTTTTGTTACCAGTTCTTATAGTTTCTATATGATAACTAAATATTTCATCCATAAAATCCTTTCATGATTTCTATCTTAATTTTTATTAATAGAAATGATTCTACTATGTTTTTACATTTCCAAAATTCCCATTTTCTTAGCCTCACTCTCTTTAAAGTTAAATAACATAACTGAAGGTAAAGAAATTAATTTTGTTTTGTAAGGCTAGATTTCTCCAGTTTGACAGTCTTTCATTTCACCTGCACACTTAACAGAACTAATCCATAATGAATCATGTGCTCATGGGCCTTTATGGATTTTTTTCTCTTTGGCTTGATAGTGTGCCTCAGTATAATAGGCGATTTGTCTCCCTTGAATATCATCTACAAAACCCACCATCTAGGTACCCCTTTTTGCTACATTATGTAAGGTAATATGACAAACCAAATAAGAGTCTTAGAAAAAAATTAACAGATATATGCATTTAAAAAATTATCTTTGTGTTTTTCCTTGAATCTCTGAAGACCAGATAAGTTATGGCCTATTTCTTGGTAAGAAGTGTTTACATGTGAAAATTTGGGTTGGTTTGTATACTGGATAGAAAATGTCAGTCAAACTAAAAGATATTATTAAACGTGTATATAATTTGTAATATCCATAAATAATCTACACAGGCATACCTTGTCTGTTGCGCAACACTTTATTGCTCTTTGCAGATAGTATGTTTTTTTACAAATTGAAGGCTCATGGCAACCCTGTGTTGAATAAGCCCATGGTGTCATTTTTCCAACAGTATTTGCTCACTTCATGTCTCTGTGTCAAGTTTGATAATTCTTCCAACATTTTAAACTTTTCCATTATCATATTTGATATGGTGATATGTGATCAATGATCCTTAATGCTACTATTGTGCTTGTTTGGGGGTGTCTGGAACTGCGTCCATATAAGATGGCAAGCTTAATTGATAAACGTTGTGTGTCCTGACTGCTTCACCAACCAGCTCTTCCCCAGTCTCTCTCCCTCTTCTGGGACCTCCCTCTTCCCTGAGATACAATAATATTGAAATTAGGCCAATTAATAACCCTACAATGGCCTCTAAAACTTTAGGTGAAGAGTCAATTGATGTGGCAAACTTCATTGTTGGCTCTCATTTTTTTTAAATGTTTTTACTGGAGAGAGAGAGACAGACAGACAGACATCAATTGGTTGCCTCCCACACATACTGACTGGGGATGGAACCCGCAACCTGGGCATGTGCCCTGACCAGGAATGGAACTGGCGAGCTTTCGGTGCACAAGACAATGCTCAACCAACTGAGCCACATCAGCCAGGGCTCATTGTTGTCTCATTGTAAGAAAATGCCACAGCCAACCCAACTTTCAGTAACCATTACCCTGATCAGTCAGCAGCCATCAACATCAAGCAAGACCCTCCACCAACAGAAGATTATGACTCACTGAAGGCTCAGATGATGGTTAGCAACTTTTAGCAATAAAGTATTTTTTAATCAAGGTATGTACATTGTTTTTTTTAGACATAATGCTATTGTACATTTAATAGACTATAGTATGTAAACATAATTTTTATATGTTCTGGAAAACCAAAATATTTGTGACTCTATTGAGATATTCATTTTATTGCAGTCATCTGAAACCAAATCCCCAATATCTCTGATGTAAGCCTGTTATAAAATCCAGCCTTTATTAAGGTAAGTCAGGTGGTGGATAAATATCTTACCAATTTGTTGATTTACTTCCTGGTATCATGACTTAATTAGGTAATATGGATTGCTATAACATAAGGTCTTATATTTGTAGAGTATAATTTTCAAGAGCATCTATAATAATAAAAGCATAATATGCTAATTAGACCAGACAGCTGAATGACCTTCCGGACGTCCATCCAGATGACCTTCCAGACAAAGCCGTGGCGGTGGGAGCCGAGGCAGAGTGGTTAGGGGCGATCATGCAGGCAGGCATTAATATTTTTAATAGTAAAAATATTATTTAAAGTGTATATAATTTGTAATATCCATAAATGATCTACATAGGCATACCTTGTCTGTTGCACAACACTTTATTGCTCTTTGCAGATAGTATGGGGCAATCAAGCAGGCAGGCAAGCAGTTGGGGGTGATCAGGCAGGCAGGCAGAGTGGTTAGGGGTGATCAGACAGGCAGGCGAGTTGTTAGGAGCAATCAGGCAGGCAGGTAAGTAGTTAGGGGCGATCAGGCAGGCAGGCAGAGGGGTTAAGGGGATCAGGCAGGCAGGCAAGTGAGCGCTTAGGAGCCAGCGGTCCCAGATTGCGAGAGGGATGTCTGACTGCTGGTTTAGGCCCGATCCCTAAAACAGCAGTCAAACATCCCCCAAGGGGCCCC